CCTTTCTTGGATAAATTAAAGATCAGTGGTGATATCTTAAGATTTGTGAATGAGTCGTTCACTCTACTGATGTAAGTGGTATATGACATCCCGATTTCCAATAAACTTGAACAAAGTGCTGTGATTTTGAAAGCCAATTAATACGCATAATACAATCATTTGGATTTTGAAGTGGGACAATGGGTGTTGTACCCCAAAATTTGACCAACCGGTTTTTCGCAATTGGCTTACATTTCATTTTCTTTTTTGCATTCCTGCATTGCATAGCATTTGTTCTTGAGACAGGGGATCAAGGCGTTCTTGTGGTTCAGAGCTCATTTTCAGCATGAGAGACAGACCAACAAGCATCAAGAGCTTCAACATTTATTTTGCCCAGCAATTGAGCGATCGATTTTATTCTGTTTTGCGGATTAATTTCAGATCAGGATCAGCATTTAGGCTATACCGGAGCATTTTCACAGCTGCATCACCAAAGAACGCATTTCAGAGGCTCAATAGAGTTCAAAACGGCAAAAAACGGGCAAACATGCAGGTTTCCCTCCAAAAGGCGCCAAATTCAAAATTTTGAAGGTGTTAATCGGTTAACACACATGGTTAACCGATTAACCATTGGAGAATCAGCCTAATTTTGAAATTTTAATAGTGTTAACCGGTTAACGCATATAGTTAACCGGTTAACCATAGCTGATTTTGCCCTGTACGTGATTTTGCAAGCCAATTGCACTTGGGGTCTAATTTTGATCACCTTGGAATTCAAATTTTCACTTGGGAAGGATCTAGAACATCTTTAAATTTCAGATTTTCCTCTAAAATTCCATGCCACTTTCCAAGCCAAGTTTTCCAATCCAATTTCCAAACCTTGCTTTGGATCCAAACCTAAGTCATATTTAAGTGGTTCACACCAAACCACACAGGGGAATCTCTCATAATTCACTCTCATTTTTCAGAATTCATCTCAATTCTCTCAAATTTCTCTCTCAATTTTCAATTCCAAAACCTTCACTCAAAGCTCTTTTCCATTGAATTATTTGATTCTTCCATGGAATCAATGAATTCTTGAGCTCAAACCTCTATCAATTCACTCCATTGAATCCATTTCATCATCCAATTTTCGTGCACAATCAGATCTGAGCTTGGAAGTGCTTTTGAAAGTGATTATTTGACTTATTTTGGCTTGATCTTAAAGAATTTTCATTGCTACTACAAGAGTTGGTGTGGATCTTGAAGTTTTCCGGACATCTAACATTGGATCTATTCAATTAAAAGCAAATCAACACTAACCGGATCAAATCTCCGCTCCGAAGGTTGGATCCGAATCTGTTTTTAGCTTATTTGCTTTAATCATGTTGATATTCATTTTTGATTGAATTTGTGTTGATTTAATCCATGTGATCTGTGAATCGGCTGTGATAATTTGTTTGCATGCTGTTTGGATCATGTTTTGCTGGTTTAAGTTCGTGATTAAGTGATTATGCGATCATCTGGTTGATCAAATAAGTGCTTATTTGCCGGAAAGTGATTCTGTTTGCTGTTTTTCTGCTGTTGGTACATTGTTAACCGGTTAACGTATATGGTTAACCGGTTAACCAATTCAAATATTCAAAATTTTCAAAGTTTTCAGGGTGTTAACCGGTTAACGCCTGGTGTTAACTGATTAAAACCTACGAATTTCCAGATTTTCACATGTTTTACACAGGTTAAACGATTAACAATATGTGTTAACTGATTAACACTGTGCCATCAGGTCTATTTTGTGGTTTTGCTTACTTGTTTGCATATCGATTCACATCGAATCATCGTAAATCGATACGATGCATTAGGAGTGAATTATTCTGGAGTTTTGGTTGTCGTTCTCGATTATTTTAATCGAGATTTCCTTGGCATGTGCTTGCATTTGCATTTCTTTTAAGTTTTGCATCTTTATTGTTTGCATCAATTGAAGGTCGAGATGAGCTTGTGGTGGTGTCTATCCTCCACACTAATTTTCCTCCCTTGCTTGTGTGCTGCATTTTCTATTTGCATCCTTATTTTCATACTTGTTTGTGTTTGGTTCCTTCTTCTTTTGTCTTTCTTCCCTTAGGATCTCTAATATCTTTTGAGATTATGATAGACATTAGGTTCATAACCATGCATGACAATATTAGGTAGATGTTTCCCTTTTGTTTCCTAACCTTAAGTCTACTTTTCATGCTAACACTAGGATTGATCTAGTCCCCCCCTTAGACCTTCTGTGCGTCTTCTATCTTCTCATCTTCAAACAATTCTAACTCATCTAATAAATACGATGCACGTTGCGCGCTACGAGCCTTAAGCTACATGGGGAATGATGAGTGAGGGGTCTCCTCTCGCTTATCTAGAGTGTTTAGTGTACGTCCTGTTTGGGGGCGATATGCGACGCATTCGCTCCCATGTCATAGTCTTTAGTGCAACGTGAATCACAAATTGAATTAATTCACTTCACTAAAAAACACAAAAACAAACTTCAAACCTTTTTTCCTTTGGGACTAATCGGAAACCTTTTTCGCAAAAAGAGTGTTGTTAAGCTTTGGTTCTACCGCAAACAGGCATCGTCCCTAACTATTGGAACGAAGGCTTAACCCTACTCGATTAAAACGTTTTAAATCGGCCGGTGTTCTTTTTTTCCCGAACTACGTTTGCTCTGATCTTTCATAACAGATGAAAGTATGTAGGCACAAGACGCGATGTCTTGGCGAGCAACCTTCCCCCCTCTCTCCCGTAGTTAGGCGAACTACGTTGACTATGACTTTCCCATTGCACGAGGGAATACGTAGGCCCAGAACGAAGATGTTCTGTCGAATCCCTTTTTCTTTTCTTTCGTCCCAAGCCTGTAGCGTAGATAGTTTAAACACACCCTTCGATAGACAACAAGCGTGGATCCCGTCGAATACAACGGACGTGAGGGGTGCTAATACCTTCCGCTTGCGTAACCGACTCCCGAATCCAGGACTTAGTTGCGATGACCTTGTCTTTCCCTTTTCGTCAGGTTTTTCCGATCGTTTCCTTTCCCTCTCTTTGGGATAAATAACGAAAGATGGTGACTCTTCTGTTTTTCGCTGGGTGTTTTTCGCAGTTGCGACAGTGGACAATGAGATTTTTTTTTTGAAAAACCGTATCTTGTAAGATCAATACACTCTATCATACACATTTGCCATGAGATGACCCATTTCAGAGAAGCGTACATAATAAGTTCGATGCACATTTCATCAAACCCGACATAATAGGTATTCTCATTAAAAGTAACACCAATCATCTCCAATAATGGAAGTCTGTACTTGTCGTTCTTGTACATTGAATCAATGATGAGCACAGTAGGAAACGTGTTGAACAACTTGATGGAATCAGAATGAGTCCAAAATATATTTCTAACGGTTATCATCCAACAATTTCAAAAGTTGTTGCATTTCACTTTTATCCCCCCTCAACGCCTTGTTAGTTTGGTTCTGAATATTATACACTTGCTTGATATTTGAGATATTTTAGATCTTTTACATTTCAAAGTTGCAAGTATTTTTTTTTTATTGAACCAAATTCACTGTCATGTCTGAAACTCATTCATTCTCTTCCGGCATGAGACGAAACGCAATTGGATGACCGATTAACTTTTCACATAAATTATGGTTATATAAACCACATATAACATTAAATCTCCATTTCTTATTTGCCAATATATAACCACGCAATTTAAAGAGACACTCACATTTTTTTGAACCGGTGTCATCTCATTTAAAATTTCGAAAAGGAGTATTATATTTCTCACTTCTTTCGCATGCCATTATAACAAATGCACATCTTCTATCTGAACCATTATCAGACCTTCCGATTACCACACCAAATCCCAATTTGAAGGTCTCCGTACGAATTCATTGAAGCATGTGATCACAAAATTCAAACTCTTGCTCATTTTTAAATTGGCTGCCAACATCTACCGACTTCACAACAACACATTTGACATATGAAGACAGAACATATTTGAGAAAAACATCAGAGTACACCATATCTAATGAAAACAATTACAATAAAACACTCAATAAGTGTTAATATTGTAAACAATACTGAAAAATGATAACTTACAGATACCATAGATGCATTTTTGGACGAGTTCATAAAGGTTCTGGAGATGATTAAACGCACGTTTTCAGACTTAAAACAAGATTAATGTGAGCAATGAGATTTGAAATAAATTATATTTACGTAAAATTCTAGTTTCTTTTGCTACATTTGATGTGATAAAAGCAAGATTAAAGATTTAGAGTGAAAATGTGGATTGAGAGTGGAAGGGTTTTTGGTAAGAGTTTGGAGTAGAAAATAAGTATGGCTTTGTGATCATGTAAGTGAGTGTTTTATCAAATTATTCCGGAAATGTATCTCTGAAAATATCAGACATACAAAGTTGACAGAGATTTAAAATTCCAACCCTAAATCTCCATAGATACATCTCCGGTAAATCCACTAAGCTTCTCAACTATGAATATATTTGTTAAAAATACTCGGAGATGCATCTTCAAAGTACTTAAAAGTGACACTCGTTTGATGCGTCATAAAAGTGGTGCATGGTGTGGTGTGTCCGAGATATATCTCCGGAATTTAAGGGACATTTTCGATTTTCTATAAGGTGTTTTTCCACCTCATAGAATGAGATAAGAAATTCTCAAAAACTTAGATTTTTTTGGATCCAACCCATAATCCGAAATTTAACTAGAGTCCATATGATGTGCACACCAGATACTCAACAAAGTAGAGCATAACAAGAGGAAACACACGTATTTAATCCCTACTAGACTGGAATTGCAATAGAAAAGAAACTAGGAATCACCAGGCTCATCATAAAACAAAATGTGGCTCTCAAAGAATACAAAGAACCAACACTAAAAAAACATTTTTGTGGTTGAGTTTTATGGAAAAACTGTTTTCAAAATTTGTTCTGTCAGTTGAACTACCTATTGAATGAATATGGAATATATATATATATATATGTAATTTCAAAACCTAAACAGATTCTTGTGAACTTTTGGAACCAATCGACAAGTCAATGAAACTCTATTGGAAGTTCTTGATATATTCTTACACTCATCTTTTCCTATAGTTTCCTCCTTATCCTCTGAGCCAAAAAGATGCCTGTGTGATTTACTGTCTTTCAAAGCTTCGGCTTCATTTACAGCCTGGAAAAAACCGATTTTGAAGCATGAAAAATAATTAGAAATGCATTCAATTTATTAATGGCGTAAAAATTTAGTATCTGTGTAGCCTTACCCCATCATAACCATGTACCTCACAATCTTTTATACCATGCAAGTAATCTGTAATCACATGCAGAATAAGCGCTTATTCAATAATATTAAACTGACTTATACCATAAGCTATTTTCATAAATGTGTTAAGTCCAAATAAACTCTTCCAAACTCGTTCTTATTCTATTACCAAATACAATGATTTATTATAGCACACTTGAGAAGAATAACCTTACCTGAGTATGCGTTATCCTTGAATATTAATAAACTGCGAGGCATCAATATAACAGAGAATGGACGGTGATCATCAAGCCACTTATCTTTTACAATCTCAATAGTTTCTCCATCGGATTCTTTGTTGATAACTTGTGAATCAAGTTTTAATCTGGTATGGGGAGTGAAGTCCATGACAACAGGTGATCCAAGTGAAAGAATAGCTACAACGGGAAAATAGGAAGGTCCGTCTTGGTGTGGCTGTAAGATAAAACAACAGCCTTCATTGAGAACTAGCAAGTAGCAACATGCATGGAAATGCACTCTAGACCTATGATGCAACAATGACAGACACGAAACCGACCTCCCTGTAGCACCAACACTTTTGATCGAAAGTGTGTTTGGTGTCTTACATGTGTCGGTGTCCGAGACCGACATATTTGATTACATTCAATTAATTAGTTTTTTAAAATTACTACCGACGGCGTGTCTGGTGTTTGTGCCAGTGAATCATAGACTGACATTGACATGTCAACACCGATAATAATTTGAGAAAAATAAAATCATTTGAGAAGCAGGGGTTGAGGTTCAGGACAAACCATTATGCCTTGGTTAGGTTGGTATTCATTTATGAGAACATGATTGATTGGTGATGGGAATAGTCCCGATTCTTCAGATATTTTATGTGTGAGATTTGTTAACCATGGAGGCACTACAAGAGAGAGATATCATAATATATTAGCAGAAAAAAGAAAAATCAAACCATTTAATCATCTTGGACTTGCAGCAGGCAGATAAAATGTGTAAAGCTGAAGCAACAATGTCGTAATTTCAATAGGAGTAATTCTAACAATACACTTTTCAACACTCACAAGGTTGAGGTAGAAGGCCCTTCTCATGGACAACACCGCCTGCATTAAAAAGCGACAAGAAATAGCTGGTCAACATTATTGAGGACAAAATTTTCAAATCATCTTTGGTAATCATTAGTAATTTAGTTGGTAATACAAAAGAAATATATATTCGTCACATGGATATTTTCTAATTGCCTAATGAAAAAAAGAGTCGACAATAAGTCACATAGCGTTGTTATTCTGACTTTTTGCAATGAAGGACTGCTCAATCACAATATTTCAACTATGGTTTTCACTAATATAACTATGAAATGGGTTAGTATAATGAGACAGATTTCACGTCCATGACAGCACAAAATAAAGACTATGGCATGGGAAATCCTAACATACCCCCTTCTCCTAAAAAAATAAGAAAAAGAAGAATTCATTGTGAATCATAACTATGAAGCAATAGCACTAACAGAAGACACAATGACACGGACAGGTTGATACCAATAATAGTTTGCCAAAAAGTAAAAGTAAGTAATTGAATCGAATGTAACCACACACTGTGAATCATAACTATGGAGCAATAGCACTAACAGAAGACACAATGACACGGACAGGTTGATACCAATAATAGTTTGCCAAAAAGTAAAAGTAAGTAATTGAATCGAATGTAACCACACACTGACATCTACATGTGTTGGTGCTGGTGTTGGATTCTAAACACGCCTCCTATACTATGTTTGGATATCACAAAATGAACGGAGCAGAATGGAAACGAGCAGAGTGAAATGAAGCAGCACGGAATGAGTAATCCATTTACGACGGACAAGGTAAATTCTTCACTCCGCCGAAATCGGAAGGAAAGAAATTTGGTGATACGTGATAGAATGAAATGGAATCCATGCCACTCAATTCCGCTCGGCTCTATTAGATTTTAGATGATCCAAACAATGGAATACCACTCCATTCCATACCATACCGCTCCGCTCCATCCAATTTATTTCATCAATCCAAACAAATCCTAGAGTATGGTGCTACAATAGATCATAAACAAAATTACTTGTAAAGGGAAGTTGATTTCCTAATTTCTATTTTCCAATCATTCTCCACTTTCAACCAACCTCAACCTTAAAAAAAAGACTAAACAATTTCTATATTTATAGGGGTGAAGTGCAGAAACTAATATACTCAATAAACCATACCCCAATTTTGAAGCCTTCTATTCTTCAACAACTTCCACTTAGATGAAGGAGCTCCATAAATCTAACAACAAACCAAACCAAAAAAAAAAAAAAAAATTTTTTACAAAGAAAACATATAGTTAACTAAAGAACCAATAGGTTGAAAATGAAAAGTATTAATACATTGTTGAGAAGAAGGGTTTGATCAGCATCAGTGATGAAGTCAGGAATATAAAACACATTTGGCAAAGACCCAATTTTGAAATTATCTAATTTCTGCCGTTTTGCTTCAATTTTTTCCATTACACTGCAAAATCAAGGGTTTCAAATGTCATAAGAATTGTTAAGAAAGTTCATTGTTTATTAGGAGATATTAAATAGGAGTGTTGAAGTTGGAATATTATTAGGACTTACGGTGAAGTTATAGAGAGGAGTTGTTCGGGAAGCGGCGGAGCGAGAAGAGAATAGCGGAGCCGCGGTGGTGGGAGTTCGCCAGTTCGGTGGTCGGTGGCTGAACCGAAGAAAGAGAAGAGTCCCCCAACTTAACAAAATAAACAAATATAAATGTATAGAAAACAAATAAATAAAAACTATATTAGTTTCTTTTTCCTCTCTTTTAGAATACATTAATGGACAAGATATTTTTTTTAAAGAACAAAATAGAGTCTCTTTCTTTATTTTAAAAGGTTAAATTACATGGTGCCTTTTTAACCTATTCACAAAATCAATCAAGCCTTCTATTTTAAATTTAAATAGTTTTTCTTATAAAATATAAATGTTCCGGTGTGGGCCTCGCCTCGGCAGGCCCAATACCAAATACGGCCCAACAGGCGAACTGAGCACACCTGGCACACGCCCCTTCGAACGAGCAGGACTGTCCGCCGGGCACAAGCCATCACGCCGCATCCCCTTCGTCGTCCGTCACACCAGACGAGCGAGACTACCCGGGCTCCCTCCGCGGGAGAATAACGTGCTCGGCGCACGTTCTCCACGTGCTCCCCTCCGCGGGGACACGTCATCGGCCAACCGCCCACCTCCGAAAGAGCAGGTCAAATCCACTTTCCGGAGACCTAGGAGCGGTTGAACTAGGGCGAAGACCACGTCCTGGTCTTCACTACGCCACGTAAGCCCTAGCAGTCATTAGGGTTGGGCCTGGTCGTCTGGCCCACCTCGAATGACCGTTGGCCCAGCGCTGGGGTCTCTCTATAAATACCCTCTTCTTCAAGAGGGTCAGGTAACTCTTCTTGCCCCCTTTTCTGTACTATTGCTTCCTCTCTGTCCAACTTCTTACTTGGGCGTCGGAGTGCTTTGCAGGTACACCCCCTCCTCGTTCTTACCTCGGCGAACAGATAACCGTCCGGCGAAGCGTGGCCAGTCCGTGATCCCTCCTGATCAGGTCAGATCAGTGGCGCCGTCTGTGGGAACTGAAACTTCCCCGTTACTCCGAGCAGAAAAACCAAAAGTTTCACCAAACCTCCACGGTCATGGCCAGCCCACGCCGCGATGACACTCCGCACGATCTCGCGCTCAACACTGCCACCAACGGGAAGCAGGTAGGAACGGCGCGCCTGAATGAAGCCGACGAAAGAGACGGGCAAACTGCCTCACCATCGTCCGAGGAACGGCCCCTGCATGCCGACCATCGCCCCCCGAGCCCGCCGGCATTCCACCCCGTTCCCATCCCGGCGGGAGCGGACCCAACGGTAGCCGCTCTCTTTGCAGCCATCAACCAGACGAACCAGCTGCTGTCCCAACAGAACGCTAGAATTGGAGCATTGGAACGCGGCGGCTCCCCGAGGTACCCCCAGCGGGATGACCAGAACGGAGGTTCGAGGAGCCCCTCACCTCGACCCAGGAACCGCCGACCGCGGGTGGAGAGACGCCGCCCCCAAGCGACACGGGAGCGCACCAGATCCCCGGCAAGACATGGTCGCGGGAGGAACCAGAACGCCGCGGCGACCCCAACCGAGGAAACCCGAGCCGGGAACTCAGGCCGGAGATCGAGAACCCGAAACCCGGGACACGCCGCGGCCGGTTCATCTCCCCTGAGATCCCCAGCGCACAGCGACGAGGATGACTATCGCACCCCACTATCCCGGGAGATCATGGCAGCCCCTATACCCCAAGGAATGGAGAAGCCACCGACGCTGTCAACGTACGACGGCACCTCCGACCCGGACGATCATCTGGAAGACATCGAGGCTATGCTCGACTACCGCAATGTCCGGGGAGCTATTAAATGCAGACTCTTCCCGACGACTCTGAGGAAGGGCGCTATGACCTGGTACAAAAGCCTGGAGCCCGAATCAGTTACATCGTGGAGGGTCTTGAAGGACCTATTCTCCAAACACTTCACAGCGTCCCGGCGTCACCCGAAGACGGAAGCAGTCCTCGGGGCGATCATCCAAGGCCCCGACGAACCCCTCCGGAAATACATCGAAAGGTTTACTCGGGAAGCCGTACAGGTGACGACTTCCGACGAAATGAAACGCTACCTAATGGAGCAAGGCCTGCGCCACGACTCCAAATTCTACGAGGCCGTAGGCATACACCGGCCCACGTCCCTCCAAGACTTCCTCGACAGGGCCGCCCATTACATCCGGTTCGAGGAAACACAAGCGGCCAACTCCGCTCGCGACACCCGAGACAGAGAAGCCCCCCGCGGGCACCGAGACGACGGAGCTTCGAGCCACCGACGAGGAGGGGACCGCCGTCGAGATGACCGCCACCGCGAACCCCGAGAACAGCGCGAGTCACGCGGCCCGGCAGGAAGGTTCACCGAGTACACCGCCTTGGTCGCTTCGCGCGAACGCATACTGGCCGAATGCGCTAAAACCGAGTTTGTGCAGGGAGGTGTCCGTTTTCCACGACCAACGCCGCCCAAACCCAACGTGGACAAGTCAAAGTACTGCCGGTTCCACAGGACCCACGGGCATGTAACGGAGGACTGCATCCATCTCAAAGACGCGATCGAAATCCTAATCAAAGATGGGCACTTAAAGCGATATACCCGGGGAGGTGAACCACCCAGGTCGGAGGCTCCGGAGGCAAAGAAAATCGAGGAGCTCCCCTCCCCAGAGGACGGCGAGAGACTCCAGGTCGCGCTGTGCGTCAGCCGCCCCGAAGATTGGTTCGCAAGCAGAGGATTCAGCACTCCCGAAGCGCCCAGCTTAGTCGGCGAGCCAATCCGACCAACCAGCCGATGGGAATACTTCCCCAGAGCCATGGTCATCTCTGATGGAGCTACGAGGAGTCTGTCCATAGGATCTGTGAAAAGAAAATTCGACGAACTCATCGCTGGCAACTCCGGCAAGATGAGCACGCTCGACAGATTCCGAGGCCGCTCCAACCCAATCACATTCTACCTCGAGGAACTACCCGGGGGATCTCCCAATTCCAACATACCCTTGCTCATACGCGCGCGTATGGCAAACTTCGACGTCAGGCGCCTCCTCGTCGACGGAGGGAGCTCGGTTGACATAATGTACTCACATTTGTTCACAACTCTCCAGCTCAACGAATCCAACCTCTCCCCCTACGTAGGCTCCGACCTCCAGGGGTTCAACGGGACGACGACGAGACCCTGGGGATACGTGGAACTGAAAGTCACCTTTGGGGAAGAGGAAACGGCCAGAGACATCAGCGTCCGCTTCTTAGTCATCGAATGCCCGTCCCTGTATAACTGCATCCTGGGCAGGACAACGATAGCAGAACTCACCGCGGTACCCTCCACCGCCCACCTGAAGATGAAATATTACACGAGAAGGGGAGCCGTGGTCACCCTCAACGGCGACATCGAAGCTTCCCGAAGGTGTTTTGAAGCCGCGCTGAAAGGCTTCGACTCCATCGCTCCACCGACCAAAAAGAAAGCACCGAGCGCTACGCCAAAGGACAAACCAACAGAGCTGGTCGGATCAGTGGAGCTCGACAGTCGCTTCACCGACGAGCTCGACGACAAAAAGACGGACGCAGCCAACGAGCATCCAGCGCGCCCCATCCCGGATGGCGATTTCGAGCTCATTCCCCTCGGGGACGACACGACCAGAACCGTGAGGGTAGGCGCAGGACTCCCCGACCTCGCGAAACGACAGCTCCAAGCCTGCCTCCGCGAGAATGCCGACCTCTTCGCCTGGAGCGCCGCGGAAATGCCGGGACTCGACCCTGAGGTCGCCTGCCACCAGCTGTCCATCAGCCCAACCGCAAAGGCCGTGGTGCAACGCCGTCGCCGCCAGTCCCCGGAAAAATCGGCAGCAGCCGAACAAGCTGTAAAAGACCTCTTAGAGGCAAATTTTATTTCGGAAGCCCGGTATTCCACCTGGCTGTCCAACGTTGTACTTGTTAAAAAGAATAATGGAAAATGGCGCATGTGCGTTGACTACACTGACCTCAACCGGGCGTGTCCTAAGGACGCCTACCCCCTCCCCAATATCGACAAGCTCGTCGACAACTCGGCGGGCTTCAAACTCTTGTCCTTCATGGACGCATACTCGGGATACAACCAGATCCCGATGGCCGAACACGACAAACAGGCCACGGCCTTCATGACAGCATCGGGCAATTACTATTACAACGTGATGCCCTTCGGCCTCAAAAACGCCGGGGCCACGTACCAACGGATGATGAACCACGTCTTCCGCGACGAGATCGGGGACATGCTCGAAGTATATATGGACGACATGATCGTCAAATCCGCCGCGGAAGACGACCACGCAGCACACCTCCAGAAGGTCTTCAAGACCGCGAGATCATGTCGCATGCGTTTCAACCCGGAGAAATGCACTTTCGGCGTCTGCGCCGGTAAATTCCTCGGCTACTACTTGACCGAACGGGGGATCGAAGCCAATCCGGACAAATGCCACGCCTTCTCCAATATAACCACGCCGACCACGAAGCGTGCCATCCAGTCCCTCAACGGCGTGCTAGCCTCCCTCTCGCGATTCATCGCGAAATCGGCCCAACACGCCCTCCCGTTCTTCAAGCTGCTCAGGAAAGAGACCAAGTTCGAATGGACGGGCGAATGTGAAAAAGCCCTTCGCCACCTCAAACGCGTCCTCTCCGAACCGCCAGTACTGACGCGCCCCTCGACGGGCGAAACCCTGTATTTATATCTGGCCGTCTCTAACGAAGCCGTCAGCGCCGTCCTCGTGAGCGAAGCCGGGGAAGGACAAAAGCCCATTTACTTTACTAGTAAAGCCCTCCACGGCCCGGAGGCCCGATACCAGCTGATCGAGAAAGTCGCCCTGGCCCTCGTAACAGCGGCACGCCGACTCCGACATTATTTCCTAGCACACACCATCGTGCTC